AGCACAAGGTCACTGCAATGAACTTGGCTCTGAAGATACTAAGGCATGATTAAGTCTCTGCATCAATTTCAGCTATTCGAATCAGTTTTATGTTACGTGTTGTCCTTTAAATGCTGTGTCTGGCTACAGATCCATACTGACCGCACCGATGAATTTCGACAGGCCTTTATTTGCTAATTGATTTGTTAAGAAACTAGCCTTATTCCTAGAACGACCGTCTGTCATCGCATGACCCCCATTTTATGGTGACTGTAACCAGATAAACAAGTCACTAACTTCTGTGGAGTTGCAGTGCTGATGTATATCTGTAACCAGATGAAATTCTTTTCTACCTCAAGTATGCGGGTGACAACCTCGCCTGGTTAACTAGTTTACTAGTTACTAGCCGGTCCTAAGCCCGGGTAAAGAGGGAAGGTTGGGCATAGGGCTAGCAACCCTACCCCGTAAAACAAATCTAACCGCTAAAGAAACTTCAAAGCACAAACAAAATATAAAAAATGAAAACAAACTTATTCCCCGCTGGAATCGGAGAGGCGAAATGACGCCAGTTGGTGAAAGCCTTCGGGAAGCCAATTGGCCGATGTGTCTTCTCTCGATGAAAGCGAAAGTAAACGTGGGGACATGGAATGTCCGCACGATGTTTGAACCCAGTAAGGCAGCCCAGATTGCAAAGGAGATGAGAAGGTATAACATCGAAGTGCTTGGGATTTGCGAAAGCAGATGGAATGGGAGTGGACTCTCCAAACTGTCAACGGGAGAATCAATAATCTACTCCGGTCACCCAGACGCCAACCACGAGCACACTGAGGGAGTGGCTATCATGATGTCCTCAAGAGCATCGAAGGCTCTCATGCAGTGGGAACCAATCTCCTCCAGGATCATGACAGCAAGATTCAACTCAAAAGGAAGAAAGGTCACAATCATACAATGTTATGCACCTACAAATAATGCAGAGCAAGAGAAAAAGGAGGAATTCTACAGACAACTTCAGTCAACACTGGACAAGACGTCAGTTGGCGATATCAAAATTCTAATGGGCGACATGAATGCCAAACTGGGAGGGGACAACACGGGAAGAGAACTAACCATGGGTCGAGAGGCGCTAGGTGAAATGAATGAGAATGGAGAATTGTTTGCAGAATTCTGTGCATTCAACGATTTGGTGATTGGAGGCAGTGTGTTCAGGCACAAGGATATCCACAAAGCGACATGGATTTCACCAGATGGACACACTAAAAACCAAATCGACTTTATCTCAATCTCAAGAAAATGGAGACGCAGTCTACTTAACACAAGGTCAAGAAGAGGAGCAGATGTAGGTTCAGACCACTATCTAGTGCAAGGAACCTTCGAAATCAAGTTAAAAGCCTTCAAGGAAGCTGGTGATAGACCTCAATTCAAGTACAACACTCGGAAACTGAAGGATGAAACTACAAAGGAGATCTTCAAAGCAGCCATCAAGACAAAATGGGAGACGTCGAGGGACATCCCTGAAGAAACCTGTGTAGAAGAACACTGGAAGTCTTTGAAAGCTATGTGGAAAGAAACCTGCACAACAGTATTAGGAAGGAAGAAGAAAGAAGACAAGGAATGGATCTCGACGGATACCTGGAAGCTGATAGAGGAGAGGAGGATGGTGAAGCAGAAGATAAACCAGTGCAAGGATGCTCAACGACAAGAGGAACTGAGCACAATGTATAAAACACTGGATAAAGAAGTGAAGAAGAGTGCACGCAAAGACAAACGACACTTCTACGACACACTGGCAAGTGAAGCAGAACAGGCTGCAGGTAAGAGAGACCTGACGACATTGTATCAAATAACCAGGTTGCTATCAGGGAAGAGACCAACACAGATGAAACCAATAAAAGATGAAGAAGGAAATTTAATTACAAAAGAAGAGAAACAGAGGAAACGATGGGCCGACCACTTCAAGAAGCTCTTGAATCGACCACCACCTGCACTTCGTCCAGAAATACCACCTGCAGCCGCTGAATTACAAGTGAACATAAATCCCCCAACGAAAATGGAAGTCCTGAACGCCATAAAGCTACTGAAATGCGGGAAAGCAGCAGGACCAGATGGAATACCGCCAGAAGCACTGAGAACAGATGCAGAGACAACAGCGGACATGCTCACACCACTATTGCAGAAGGTGTGGAGGGAAGAGAAGGTACCTGACGATTGGAAGAAGGGTTACCTTGTCAAACTGCCGAAGAAGGGAGACCTCAGTGCTTGCAAGAACTGGCGCGGAATCACTCTCCTATCCACCCCAAGTAAAATATTAAGCCGCATCATCCTGGAGAGGCTTAAAGACGCACTGGATTCAAAACTGCGACCGGAACAGGCAGGCTTCAGGAAGTACAAATCATGTGCTGACCAAATTGCAACGCTTCGTATCATCATAGAACAGAGCGTAGAATGGCAATCAGCTCTATACCTCAACTTCATCGACTTTGAGAAGGCCTTTGACAGCGTCGACCGAGAAGTAATTTGGAAACTGCTTCAATACTACGGAGTACCGCAAACCTTTATCCGCCTCATTCAACAACTATATGAAGATGCCACATGCCAAGTAATCCACAATGGGAAGCTCAGTGATGCCTTTGAAGTGAAGACAGGAGTGAAACAAGGTTGCCTACTATCCCCCATGATATTCCTAATTGTGGTGGACTGGATCATGCAGCAAACAGTAGGCAGCGAGAAGAGGGGGATACACTGGACGACGGAAAAGAACCTAGAAGACTTGGATTTCGCCGATGACTTATGCCTAATGTCACATAAACTTGAAGATCTGCAGGCAAAAACTAACAAGTTGACAGAGGAGGCAGCTAAGACGGGACTTCAGGTGAATATAGAGAAGACAGAAGTGATGAAGATACCGCACCACCACCATCAACAACAACAACAAACTCCAATCACCGTCAACGGGAGAAACTTGAAGGAAGTAACCTCCTTCACTTATCTAGGAAGCACTGTTTCAACTACAGGCGGGACGGACGAGGACGTCAAAGTCAGAATCGGAAAAGCAAGACAGGCGTTCATTAGCCTGAAACCAGTGTGGAGATCTTCTGCACTCAGCATGCGGAACAAGATACGGATTTTCAACACCAACGTCAAGTCAGTGCTCTTGTATGGCTCAGAGACTTGGCGCGTCACGAAAGGCATTTCCAATAAACTACAGACATTCATCAACAACTGCTTACGCTCGCTGCTGAAGATCAGATGGCCAGAAAAAATAAGCAACAAGGAACTCTGGGAACGAACCAACCAAGAACCTATCACGCAACAAATATGCAGGAAGAAGTGGAGATGGATTGGGCATACACTGAGAAGGCCGACTGAGGACATCACGCGTCAGGCCCTCGAGTGGAATCCCCATGGGAAGCGACGAGTTGGACGTCCGAGGGTGACATGGAGGAGGTCGTGCGAGGAGGAAATGAGAGCTTCTGGGCTGTCGTGGAACCAGGTTCAAAAGATCTCAGAGAACAGAGGTCACTGGAGGCGTGCTACTGAAGCCCTATGTTCCACTAGGAACCCAAGGGACTAATAATAATAATAATGCGGGTGACATTGTCATACTGTACGGCACTATACAGACTACTGGAATTGCACTGGTTATATTTGGTGACAGTTTTTCGTATGGTATACATTTTCCATCGTTGAACTGCAAAATGCTCTTATAAGTTTGGAAGAAGCCTGTGACTGGACTCACACTTCTTGGTAAACCGTCGGAAGTAGTTGAAAATTGTGTATCTGTGTATTAGCGTCAGTTTTGATGGAGGTGTGATTGATTGGTATTTTTAATCGTATAACGAGGCCAGAGCGATATACGCCAAACTGGGTCATCTTAGATTCAGTTTCGGAGTCGGCATGGTGATAAAAAGTTAGGTGTACAATGTCCTGATGGGAACGTTTTTGCTCTAATTTTATGAAACCTGTCCTCTCTAAGCCTAGGGTATCCGATGACTTTACGTGCTCGATCATCATTGTCTCTTTTGGATTACCGGCATCTAATTTAAACGTTGACAGTAGTTCTGAGATCCGGTCACCCATATCTGATAGCAACAAAGTTCGTCCTTCCTTGAGTAAGATCATCGTTTGAGTCTAATTTTGGCAGCTGGGATATGTTATGAATATGAATATCATCCCACTGGCTCCTCACCATCCATTGTTTGCCAACCCTGGAAACTATCAGGTAAAAAATAAAGGCGACAGATGTATAGTGTAGCGCTATGCGATGAATAAAAGTTGAGTTGGACTAGTATTTGTCGATCCTTGTTGAGTGGAGTTTAGGAGATCATGTAGCTAAATCGCCTTAATTGACGTCAGTGATGCACATATTTTAATTTTCATCTCTGCTTTGTCTATGAAAAGCAGTAAAACTTCAATGAGATCTTTTTCGAACATTTCTCGCGGTAGCCACTGTCTGATCATTCCTTTTTATTGCACATCTAATTCTTTTCTTAATTTCATTATATCATTCTATATTGTGCATTTTGTGACGCATATGCACTTTGCTGAGTTTTCATTAAGGTCAAAATCAAAATATAGCAAAATCTGAGTCAAAGAAAGTATAGCTGTTGTCAATCGGATTATGAGCTTAATTAGCGATTCAAATATTATGAAAATTGCAGTGAACTGTGTTGGCATCCTTTAAAATAAACAAAGCTACGCTAGTTAGTGTACTTTGTATCGAAAGTGAACCTAGTACGAGTGTGTTACGGTCGAAGATAGCATACGTCGTATCAAGACGTAACTAAACATAGAAACAGAATCATAACCGAAGAAATGCTAACAATATCGTGATAAGCCGTGCAAACCATGAAGTTTGAAACAGTGGGGTGTTACGGAAGTTTATATTCATGTGAGATTACCAAATCGTATAGATGAACACCAGTAATGAACATCAGTACTCAGTAAACACTGGAATATAATTTCCATTGTTATTGTTAACTACAAATCATCTCCATTACCTTGTCTTCGTGTTTGATATTTAGGTGTTCGACTTTCAGCTATCTGACGATGAAATGCATCAGCTGAACACAAAAGGGGTTAATGAACGTAAATTCAAAATGCTCGGGTAAGTTTTTAGACACAGGTGTGTTTTTTCTGAGGTACTTTCAGAATCACTTTTGAGGTTGATGGGTATTTATTTATTTTTTCAGATTGGTATTCATCATGGACTGACATCAGTTAGGCTAAAACTATTGAAAACCTGGGAGCACTGGACAGCTGTTTTATCATAGTATGGGACTCATTAGGAGTGCACACCGACGACCCTACTTCGCGTGAGGTCGGACCCAGGGCCTCCAAGTTTTATGACCAGCACGTTAACATTGAGCCGCTTGATCAGGAACCAATGCTCCATATTTCCTACTTCAGAATCGGTTATCCATAGTAACCGATTGATAGTGAACAATATTTATGTTTTTATGTGTTACACTCATCTCCATATCGACATGTAGATTACTTTATTTCACACAGACTTCAGTTTATTTATTACTTTATTATAACATTCATTCAGCATTTCTTACTGGTAGAAATGTCAGTCATCCTTTAGATATCGTAGTCATTTCAACAAACCAAATAAGATACCACTTGTTTTCACTAAAAGTTGAAACGTTTAAGTTATAAGCTCTTTTCAGAATGCAAAGGATTTCCCAACATTACCGTTTGCTCATTAACGTCTTCCATTTCATTATCTGCTTATTTATTGTAGCTGGTTTTGTAAACAGCTCACTGTGTTCACTTTACGTCATTCGATTATTTCGCACAATCAAAGTATTCTCTAGATCATCTATGTGATGCGTGTACCGTATTCGTTTTTTGTGATAACCAATATTTCTCAAAATCTCAGTAGATCATGCAACTCAGTAGTTAAAGATGTTATCAGATTTAGCTGATAATGGAAGCCACCGATCCTCTTAGTATACTTTGAAATTCCTGTTGTTTACGCAAGTGCGTCAATGATGAATTTCCCTCAGAAAGCCATTGACATTTCATGGATACTGGGTAATGATTGAAGATGAAATGAAAATTTGGCCCGCGGCGGGACTCGAACCTGCAAATACTGGGTTTCCGGCCTGATGCTCTACCAACTGAACTACAAGACGCTACTGCTAGCCAGATTTTTATTTTCCTTCAATCGCCAAGGGTTTTGCCAGCCAGCCATGTGAATTCGTGATGTGTTACTATCGCTTGATTGAGATAAAAGAAGTAGTGAATTCATGGATAAACATGGAACAGTGTTTTGGGAAGCACTGTGTTTGTAGTGGACTTATCCTAACTGTAAATGACTTATCGTTTCTGTCTGTGTTTGGTTTACTTCAGATTTTGTACACTAATCACTAACTTGCCTAAACGTAATGATGTTGCAATATTTAATTGCTTTACTCTTTATCATCAGTAATGATCATCTTTTGATCACTTTTGGCTTCAAATGTCGAATGTTATTCACGAGCCTTTTTACTAATAGAAACTTACCACTCGCTTACTTGATGCTAATGCACATCTTTTGTTTTGCAGAATGATTCCTGATCATGAATACCCATTCAAAGAAGAATACTGAAGGCTACTTGGTAGTATCCATTAATGTACATTTGAACTAATAAACTTGTTCATGTTTTGTTTATTCTCCTTCTATTATACATCTATGGGGCACACTTTTTAGGGTTAGCCAAATATATCCAAATGTGTCTTCACCTCCGTAAAGCATCAGAAATTGAGTGGTTTTCTCATGTGTTCGATTTAACGACTTTGAGATTGGTGACTTATGACTTCATCTGACCAATAACAATATGAACGAGGAATATTCTTCTCCATAAATTCTCATCAGATTCTATAATTATGAAATGTGAGTGTACACAGTAAAACAAGCCATGTGGGACGAATACATTTTTGAAATGAAATGTTAGCTAAAGACGTTGAGGAAATCACATAGACACTAATAGTGCTATTAATATCCTGCATTGTGTAACAAAAGCAATCCCACGCATAGCTCTCCAACGCCTGCTCAGCATAGCCGTTGATTGTTATTATTCTACTAGTATTTTAGCCGGAATGGCACTATTCTACTAGGTCTTTGTTGACAACTTTGATTTGGATTCTTTGCTTCACTCAAGATATAACCAGAATTGGAAATATTCCTCTTTTGTTTTCACTGTATATGCTTTCATGGATTGTATGGTGCCTATCGTCACCTATAGCGACCATTATCCCTTACTTCTGGTAGATGCAAGTAATGTGCGCTAAAACTACTAAAGTGTTAGCCAGTCTTCACGCGTAGTCCCTTGGTATTTAGAAGATATGGGCTCTCTTGATATTCTATAAGGTATACGGTTTCATTTGAGTCTCTATGTATTGGTTACCACTGCACGCTTGTCGCTGTTCTTTTCAATCGATTTCTGCTTACTCCCTACTTCTATGACGATTTCAGTTTATGGACATTCTTTTATATATCTGCATGTTGTTCTCCCTGGAGCTTAGCATGCTGATTCAAATTCACTTTGTGATTATTCAAAGGGAATAAAATCATCTCAATCTGTTAAACTTTCCATTTTCATCAGTTGGTTATCCCCTTCTCTGACACTACATCGAGCATCGTCTTTTAGGCTTGACAAGTCTTCGAAACAGTAATGAATGACCTCTCTGAAGCACCTGGTTTCATTTATATGTGATAACGTTTATAGTCTATGATAATATTAGACAGTATGATTACCATGTATAGCTGATCCTTAGTGAGTAGTTGTGCATTTTGTCTGTCCTATGTTCTAGCTAATCATTACTTCTTCGCCTAATAGAACTTTTGTCAACTGGTGTTTTAGAAGCAGATCTGGTTGTATTAGTACGTGGTATCGTCAGAAATCAGCGTTCTTTGTTGTTGTGATGGTTGAAGCTGCACATTCAGTGCTTATCTTAAGTATTCAGTAGGCCGATTGGCTCACTGCTTTCATTCGTCTTGACTGTTATTCCTCTTATTCTTGACTGATTATTGAATTATGTCAAAAGATGCTCATTCTTCAGATTTTTCTACTGTCAGCCGTTTAATCGAATAGAAGAAATACCTCGACATGAGAAACTCGCTTTACAGTTGCTGATGAACAACCTGATCATGTCTATCATATGTCTATCGCTTTTCAGGTACGGAATCACTTATTCCTAGCTTTTTTTAAAGTTATTAAGGTTAGATGATAACCCTAAGTAGAAGAATATGATCGTGTATGGCCAGTTGGTTTGTTTGCAATACATAACAAGAAGCAGATAGATATGTGCATGCTGTAGGTTTGGTATGTCTATCACTGTCAGTTCCATTTTGCTTCATCAATACTGGATGCTAAGTAGATATAGGTGGGACGAAGATCATGTTACCGTACAACATTTGCCATGTATCTTCAACATGTACCAAAGAAAATGTGTAAGTAAAGCCACCATCTGTTCTCGCTCGTTTATCCTATGCTCTTCAAATGATATCTGTTCCATAAGTCTTGTTCATGAAACACCCCTGGATGAGCAGAAATCATGTGATATGTTAGGTATGGAACTGATTGAATTTATGGATTTGATGCCAACCGGAAACCAGCAGATTTAGTTCAACTGACAATTCGAAACATATCTGTTGACTACCGTCATCCGCAGGCAGTTTGACCTTACACTAGGAGATTAAGACCACGCAAATCGAAGTTACTTGCGCCTAATGCTTCACAGTGAAGTGCTTGCCAGCGTGAACTGCATTTATTATGTAGTAGCAGCACAAGGTCTATTATTTTTGATGTCTGGTTTCGTCATCAAACGTTCCTCAACTAAATCTCTTTGTTTCTTGCTATATGAAAGCCAACTGCATCAGGTAAATCTCATAACTATCCAGTTTCAGAGGCTATTTGTTTTAGTTTCTTGTCACCAAATTTGTGTTTGAACACCTCTTCGAAACTTCTATAGAAGTGGCCAACACCTGCGACATGTATATCATATGCATAAAAGTTGATCTCCAACTGGCTTTTGTTTTAATGAATTACTAAGGAACATATCACATAATTTACCTTGGAGGTGGTAGTCTATTGTAAATCATCATCGAACAACCAGAAAAGATATGATGAGTATTATTCATTGTGAGCATTACAGTTAATGATTTTTAACATGCAAATATTTATATCACTCAGAGTAGACAGCATTCACCTTAACGTTTTCATTCGCAACACATATAAATAAAAGTATGAGCAAGCAAACTAATAAAGATTAAGGCATCGGTAGTTTTGGAAGCACGCACACTTCATTCTGTTTCTCTTGTGTAGACATAAGGGCGAATATAGTACAGAGAAACAGATCGACGTGAAAACTGGCATAAGATTACATTGCCTGAGGTTGCCGGGCTTCACAGTAGCGAACAGGGAAGAAAAATTAATATTAAACAGGGACATATGTGAGGAGATGGATTAAGTGGATGATGATGAACAAAATGTTAAGGATTTTGAGGATGATAAAGAGTCTACACACTAAAAGTCTCAAAGCACTGATTTCTTTCGTCTAGATAGCCTCAGGCAAACAGTGTACAACTCCTTTAATGGCGAAAACAGTCAGAGTGTTCATGCAACAATGACACGTTTTGTTCTGCTCACATTGAGCCTTCTTCCAATAAATCCATCTTTAGGTGACATCGCATGTGTAGGCTGCGTCTTGGCACAGGCGACATTTGTTCAACCCTCTTCACATGATGAAATATCGCGTTTTGATCCACTGACTTGCATTCCTTACATAAAACCTTACTGCAAACCTCACTAGTTTGCATACGGGAATTCAACAGAGGCGAGAAACAAGGAGAAAACAAGTGTTAAAATTTGTCATCTGTGCATATCTCGTACTTTCAGATGCCAAGTTCTATACACAGTATGACAAACATAACAGGGTGCAGCGTATAAGCTCGTCGTCCAAGAGACAACAGAGATGATGCAGTTTGGTATGAATCCGACCAGCCTTTTGCACACCAGGTGCGAGTTCGTCAATTACCAGCTCATTTAAGCTGGTCCTGTAAGGCACCTGACTAAAGCCGCTGTAGCGTCACACACTTCCCCTGAATCGATAGCTTAGGGTCTGACGACATCCGACATTGATGCTGACCTTGATAGTTTAACTGGACTCGCTAAGCTGAAGGCACCCGGTCAAGCATCCTCGCCATTTGGCACGCTGTCGTGTTACGTTGCATTGCTCGTATTCGACTCTCTAGCCAGTTAGTTGGAACGCATCGGTATTTTGGCATAACCATCCAAATATACTATTCCATCCGACTACGCTATCGTGTTCTTCCTTGGTCTCGTATTCGTGGGTATATAACAAGTTCGAATAATTAGTGATTGGTCTTTGCGTCTGTCAAGTTCGCACCAGGACAAATCCTAAATTGGTGAGCCCGACGTGATCACATATCCCGACCAATAACAAGTATTGAATTGGTGAGCCTGTTCCATTTTATATTTGTTTATTGTTTTCATTTCGATAACATTTATTTATCCATTTACTACACTTTCTCATGTCCGACCACACTCCCAAGCTTATTCGTATTAAGCCGACTACGAACACGATCCAACTCGTGCCATATTGGCCAGACAATGCAGAAACATGGTTTCTGTATGCCGAGGCCGATTTTCGAGAACAGGGTGTCTCAGATCCTCAATCTCGATTTCTTGCTGTCATACGGTCACTACCGCGAGAATTAAACAGGTATGTTACAGCAAACATGTTTAATCCTGAAGTAAGTGACCCTTATGCACTTCTAAAGGCCGCACTCTTGAAGAAAAGCGATCTCACAGATCGCCAACGTCTAGACGAATTGCTTCGTAACATCGAGCTAGGCAGCCACTCAGCTACTGAAGTCCTCGCACGCATGCGAGAAGTAATCGGTGCACGAACATTTGACGATGGTTTCTTCCGAGAACTATTTCTCTCGAAACTACCACAACCGGTGCAAACCGTGTTGGTGACACTCCAGTCAGTCCCACTCGACGACCTGGCAGCCTCAGCAGATAAAATACTGGAGATATCCAGCAGACCCGTCTCCAACGTATATTCTATCTGCGACAAAACAGAGCGCCAGGATTCAGAGGTGACCAAGTTGTGCAACTCTGTGAGACGGTTGCTACGATCTCGAAGTCCTAGATCACGTAGCACTTCACAGAAACGCACCTTGGCGCATCGCAGCAAGTCGCGTGGTAGCCCTAAAACGAAACCCAACAGGGTGGAAAACCCTGAATGGTGCTGGTTTCATAACACTTACGGGGATGAAGCCAGAAAATGTCGTAAACCATGCCGTTTTAAGAAGGACCCAAACTCGGGAAACGGTCACGCCGGCACGTGCTCACGGCAACCGTAGCCGGCGGAAAAAGCCGTTTGCTCTACGTCACCGACATTAAAACGAAAGTCCGCTACCTCGTCGACACCGGCGCAGAAGTTTGTTCTTCCAGCAACGACAAAGGAGCGTCATCTTGACCCATCCTTCAATCTTCAAGCAGCCAACGGCAAGGCAATCGCGACATTCGGGAGACGGTATGCCTACCTCAACTTAGGTTTACGCAAACCTATCCA